ACTCGGTATACTATTATATAGATTAATGGACTTCTACTATAAAGATTATAATTAAAGATTAGTAAAAATTAGTAAGTAGAAAAATTAATTAAAAGATTAGTGGAGCATTGTGAAAGTTTTCTTTTTTTGCGAAATTGTATCACATAACCCTAGGAGTATAGAGAGCAACCTAGAGCCCTATACCTGAGTGGACAAGGTAATTAGATCAAGGGATTGAGAAGAAAGAACCTCTTTAGCAGTTTGTCGATCTTTTTGGATCAAAGGCAAGAAGAAGAAGCCTCTCCATCAGTCAAAGAGTCATTTTGTTGTAGCTGCATAACCAAAAGTCATGTCCTCCAAGTTTAGATTTATCGGTATCCAATTGCAGGAGTATAATATTACAAAGCCATATGCATCTCGTATTTAAAAGAAATTACGCCAGTGCCAATGCCAATGCCAATAGACATTGTTTATCAATGAACCTATTTCAACTTCAATATATCATGTTCACATACTAAGGTGTAAAAATTCTGATAGCAAGAGCAGCAGCACTGGCATACTATTGCAGTCTTGATATAGAAACGATCCAACTTCATATTTAGCAAATAAGATTTTATATTTCAGAGTTCAACGAATTTAAAAAAAAACAGGGTGTTGTATTTCTCTATAACATGGAGTCATTAACTCCGCCTAGATATGAGTTCGCTCATGTTTAGCCAGTCTCATCCATTTTAAGAATTCAGACAGCAGTACAAAGATTTTCCCAGTTCATAGCATATAAGACTCGATTCCCACAATCCTATTTGCGTTAAGTGCTAATCAGTTCTAGTGTCTACAAAACAACTGGTTTACACGCAAGCTTAACACAAAATCCCAAATCAAAACGGGAGTTGATCAACAAACCCTAGAACTGTCAAGAGCCGAACTGACCAGAAATTAACAAACGTACCATAGGAGGAGGATTCGGATACAGGAACACTGAAATCTATGGCACTGGGACTAGAGCAAGAGCGAGAAAGACCGGAAATCTAAATCTATAAGCAAAACTAGGAAAACCCCAAAATCAATATCGGTAATAAATTGAACCATTACAGTCTTCAAAATTTTGAACGTTAAAAGGTGTCTTTTCTTCATAGGGAAAACTTCACAAATACACACTTTCTATCACATTTATTTCTCTGATACACAAGCAAAATAGAAGGATTTAGTAAATGCCTCTTGTATCCCTTGAAATGAATACGTACCAGAACGAAAAGAGAGGTTCTGTTGCTCCTTGATTGATGGATTCGCTTATCTTTTATTTATTTTTATTTTATTTCTTTTTTCAATTCAATAGTAAACATAAAGATATATTTTGTATAATATATTTTTAAATTATTCATACAAAAATCTTAATATGTATAAAACTTAAAAAGATTTAAATTTAGTTTTTATAATTTTTATTTCAAAATAGAAAATTAAATTATAAAAATAATATATCATAATTTTAATTGGATTATTAATAGAAACTATGATATTAATTAAACAAATAATTTACAATTATTAAAAAAGAAATAAATTAGATAAAAAATTATTTGATTGGAAAGATATAAGATTCATATCTAAAAATATTTATATAAATTCTACTTAATTTACATTTAGGTAAAAATTATTTGATTCATATCTAAAAATATTTACAATTACTAAAATATACATAATTTTAAATATAATATTTACATACAAATTTATTATGTGAAATATATTGTTTATAATATTTATATAAATTCTAAATATTATAATAAGATGAATTTTATATAAATATTAAGTTTTTATGGTAATTTTTAGAATTGTATAACTTATATATATTTTATGATTATTCGATATAAATAATATTAATTTTAAATAAATATAATTTAAATTGAATAAAGTAAATTAATTTTAAAAAGATAATAATTAAACAAAAATAAAAACATATGAAAAATCAATAGTTAAATCAACTTTTTCAATGTCAAAAGTTATAAAAAATTGTTGTTATTATGGCTATTGATAATGGGATAAAACAATTATTATATAATAATGGTTTGTATCATATAAATGATAAAAAATATAATATTTTTCAAAAAAAGAAGTAAAAAATTATACATAGAAATGTTTGGTGTAAAAATATAGAGTAATAGAAAAAAATATACTATAATAGAAACAAAGCATTTAAAAATAAAAATATTATAATAGTTTGTCTTATTATCGCACAAAATAAGTTTTTTACGACGTATGTTATGATTATTTACAACTAATATCGACTTTATGTTACGACTATTTAAATTTTTTAAAGTTATAAAAAAATTGTTGTTATTATGGTTATTGATAATGAGATAAAACAATTATTACATAATAATGGTTTGTATCATATAAATGGTAAAAAATATCATTTTTTTTAAAAAAGTAAAAAATTATATATAGAAATGATTGGTGTAAAAATATAGAGTAATAGAAAAAAAATATACTGTAATAGAAACAAAGAATTTAAAAATAAAAATGTTATAATAGTTTGTCTTATTATCGCACAAAATAAGTTTTTTACGACTTATGTTACGATTATTTACAACTATTATCGACTACGTTACAACTATATTACGACTATTTTAATTTTTTAAAAGTATCCAAAAATAATAATTATGATGAATTTTGATAAAGTGATGATTAATGCATGTATTCTAAATGATATAAATGTGTTTTAAGTCGTAATTTGTAAAATTTCATAAATTTATAAAAGATGAGTGAAAGTATGTTATACAAGTTAATATACATTTACTTATTCATAATCAAGTAGTTATAGAAATGAGACCATATTTTCAAACTATAGTTTTAAACACATATTTATCACTTATGTTTATATTAAATAAATTTTCATCAAAACTTATCATTATTTACGATTTTTAGATATTTCAAAATATCGAAATAGTTACATCGTAGTCGTAACGTAATTGTAACGTAATCATAAATGGTCGTAATACAAGTCATAAAAAACTTATTTTTTGCGATAATAAGACAAATTTTGTCTACGTGTACGAGTGTTTGACTCTTTTCTAATCGTACTTTTATTTTCTTTATACTTATTTATGTTTTTTATAATTTAACATTTTTTTATCTTTAATGTATTTTAACAATAAAATATTATAACATTTTATATGCTATTTATTTTCAATATTTTTTTCATTTTTAAATGAACAAGTATCATTTTATTTTTGTTATTTTCAAACCGATAACACTTTTTTATGTTATAAGATTGTAAATCTTTAACTATGATTATATTTTTAAATTTTATATTAAAAAATTATAATTAACTCTCATATAAATAAAAAAAAATTATCGTATTCTTCAAAACGAGTTAAAAATTATATAAAAACAAACATTAAAAATGAAAAAACATATTTTGTTATATAATATCTAGTAACATGATAACTTTCTACCAAATATATTCATTCTAAACAATAATAGATGTATAACAATTGTCTACGATATTTATAATCCTGTAAAAAATATAAAAAATTTATCAGAAAAAATTGTATAAAATTACGATTTTACGATTCTATTATTATGACTAACATATAGTTTTTCACTACAATAGTCGTTGTAAAACCATTTTAAATTTGTAATCGTATAATTTTTTCCAGAGTTTTACCATTAATTTTTTTTATTAGATTTTTTTATAGTTCTATAATTATAAACTTTAATGTAAAATTGTAGTAATTCATTTAGATATAAATACCTAGAAATAGAACAAATAATAATAAAAATATTTTATTAATTGATGAAAAAATCGTAAATAATGAGAGAATAATTTTTTATAAGAATATGTGAAGATACCTAATAATTAATTTACCGTTATTATTAATTTAGATTTTATTTTTAAACAATATATTTGTATATAAAGAAGGAAGGTTATTTTGGTCTATTAACATTAAGGGTTATTTATGTCTTTTTGTATAAAAGGTTGTGTATTTTCTGAAAGAAAAAAAAGGAGCCAAATCTGGTTGTGTATCGAAGAAATAAATGTTATTTGTGAAGTTTTCCCCTTTTCATAACCATTAAATTCATGGTCTCTTTTTAAAAATCATTTAGCTAAAATGCAAAATGGGCCCCTTGTTTTTAATTTAACCAAAATTAAATCCATTTTCATGTTATTTTGATTTAGGGCATATTGGGCCTGTTCTCTAAAATCTAAATGGGCTTATTTTCTAATATGGTTATACGAAGATTAAAGCTAATTCCTTTTTTTTTAAATAATTTCTGAACGGTTAAAATTGGGTTTTATTTTATTTTATTTTTTCAAGAATCCAAAAAAGGGGGTTCGTATGTCTTTATTTAATTGCTGTTACACCCAACCCGACAACCTTTTACATACAATGTTTTTCTTAAATAAAAAACACCTGAGAGTTTATTCGAGTTTCCAATTGATGTTAGAGTGGAATCAAATTATATTTAAACTATGATAACAAGATTATAAGAATTTTACGAAAATCGCCAACAGATCGCTTCTTCACATCAATAAATTTCATTACACTTGAATAGTTGAATGAAGCAATGGAAGCTGTACAAAAGACTTATAAACGTAATTAGTTAATTATAAGTCATTATTTAATCGCTATTACATTAATTAATTAATTATATATCCAGTATACAATTTCTTTTTTGTTATTTGTCCTATCCAATGTTTTTTTTTCTGGTGTTATTTTATAATCCAAGAAAGATATCGAAAGTTACATACGATTTATCTTTTGGGCGAGTGATCAACAACTGGGTGCAAAACACTTAGATATTGGCGGTTCGATTCCTGATTGGAGAGGGGTTTTTACATGGACTACCCCGATCCTCTGAGAGATGTAGTTGGACCAAAGACCTGGTGAATTTTCGAATTATAAAAAACAAAAATTTCTCGTAGGTATAAATATCTTATAAATATTAGTATGATTAGATTTTTTTTCATTCGGTTATTTATTCGGTTTGTTTAGGGTTTACGTAAGAAATAAATGGGAAATAGATAGACACGAAAAAATAAATAAATAAAAAGATAGACACGTAGGCAAGGAAGGGCGAGGAAATAAGAAAAAACGCATGTGCGTAAACAGAAGACTGCGGGCCCCACAAGCAATCGCCAGCCAGCCAGCCTGGCACAGGACGTACCACCTCTCTCTACACACTCATTTATTATTCTTGTTATTATTATTATTGTTATTATCAATATTACCATTTGCACAGTTTTACATTCGTGAGTTCCTCCAGCTTCCTTCTCTGACAGAAGACGAGTTGTTGTCAGTGTCCTCTCCTCCAGTGACAGGCATCTGCTGCTGTTGTGGCCTGTCTCCTGTCTCTTCGATGCTTCCAGAATGTTCCGGAAGGTTCAACTCGTACCTCCTCTTTCTCACAACATGCTGCCATATATTCTTCAGTGCCTCCATACGTACCGGCTTGATCAGGTAATCCACCGCACCGTGAGTTACTCCCTTCAGGACAACGTTCTTCGAATCATCAGCAGACATCACTGCATCAAGATTTAGACAAGATTACAGGAGATGGGTTATCAGAGAAATGCCGAAAGTGAATGAAGAGAAGCTTTTGGTTTGAGATAGAACCGTACTGATAACGGGTAAGTCCATCTCGAGACCGACGTGCTCGAGGAGCTTGAAGCCATCCATGTCCGGCATATGAACATCGCTGATGACGATATCGAATCCATTCTTGTTCTGCCTCAGCAGTGACAATGCAATCTCTGCTCTGTTGCATTTCGTTACTGAAACCACCACAATCACAGTTAGTCGTAGGTAGCAAAACAGCTGTCTGAACACCAGAGAGATCAAAATCAAACTCAAATCATGAAACTTTTTTAGCAGAGAAGGCAAAATCTAACAGTCTGGACTGGAAGAACTAGAAAGTGAGAGATTCGAGACAGAACTCCGTTAACTTAGATCTCTTTGAACTTGCAGAACAGACCCTGACGATGTTGACCTAACTAATTGCTCTGAAAATCAAGATTGAATGCAGGATCTCTTGTACGGGGCACAATCTTCAACAGATCAGAGAGCATAAAACGAACATCTAACCAAGAAACTCAGCTGTCTGGATCTAACAGTTCATAAATCACTGAGATTTCAGTAAAAACTTCCATTGCTGTTTCTTCTTTCTTTTCCTATTTTTGGCGGAACAAAGATAGTCAACCACCGTTAACTAAGCCATAATTAGCCCCCTCCCAAACACAGTTTTCGAAATGGACAAAAAAGAATCGAAAACGAGAAATCATCATATGTGAAACCGTGAACAGAGATAAACCCACGAAACAAAATTCGGATTCTAAGCCTCTCATACAATATATATATATATATATATATGAAATGAAAACAAGGATTTTGATTCGAACCCTCGTAGAGACAATTCCTGAGCATCCTCTCCAAGATCATGAGACAAGTTGGGTCATCGTCGACGACAAGAACTCTGAGACCTACCGGAAACTGGTCGGAGACAACTTCGGCCGCAATTTTCCCGGAGCTCGACCCACCACTCGATCCGGGTCCTCTCCCATGACCCGGATTCATCATCTCTCAGCCGAAAAAAAAAGGATAAACCCAAGAAGAACGATTCTTTGAACAAGAGAATATATACCCGAGAAAAATAAAACAGAAATCAACGTGGTTTGCTTACACACGATTGGGGGAAAAAAAGGTGAGAAAATTGATACCCGACATGAGAATCGGAATTGAGATACGCGAAGGAATTTTGGGGGAAAGTGGGGAAACAAATTTGGATTATTGGGAGGGAAAGATTAGGGGTTTTAACCCTAATAACCCACTTGGGTCGCAGCAATTTCAGGGTAAACCACCGAAAAAAAAAAAAAAATTTGCGACCTTATTACGACTAATATATAACTAATATACAACTAAAATAAGAGTAGTTTATTAGTCGTAATAAGTTGTATATTAGTTATATATTAGTCGTAATAAAGTCGTAAATTTTTTTTTTTTTTTCGGTGGTGTACACTGAAATTGCTGCGACCCAAGTGGGTTATTTGAGTAATATTCCCGAAAGATTAGGGGGTGTCAAAATGGTCGGACCGGGCCGGTCTGGTCCGAACCAGACAAAAGCCCGAAGAATTATAGACCGGGCTGGCCCGGCCCAAAACACATGCGGACTTAAAATGTTGGGTTCGAGGCCCGGCCCAACGGGCTTTTTACGGGTTCGGGCCAGACTTCGGGCTTTTTGTTTACAAAATATTAACAAATTAAAAATAAAAATTATTAATAAAAAATTATCAAAATAGAAAAAAAAATTAACATATACTAAAGATAATAAAAAAATAAAGTTTTGATAAAAACATTTATTAATATATATGTAAATTTAAGAAAATTAAAACTCAGATTTTTTAATTTTTATATAATAATAAAATTTATTTTAATATTAGTGAATTCATATGTATATATTTATGTATATATGTATATATATTTATCTATATCTATATATATTTATATTATATAATATATAATATATTATTTTTTCGGGCCGACGGGCCAGGACGGGCTAGTCTGACCCGACCCCGTATTTGGCCCGTATTTTTCGGGCCGGGCCGGCCCGGCTTGATGAACGACCGGGCTTCAATTTCTTAGGCCCAAGTCCGTAAATTTTACGGGCGGGCTCGGGTCGGGTAACAGGCCTCGGATTTTTTTGACACCCATAGTCCTTACTATGAGAAGGGTATAAAGGGCTTTCTCTTCAAACCCGACCCGCTAATACAAAGCTTGCTTCCCCAATTTATAGGAAAAGTTACTTTCGATTTTGTTTAACTAATTTTTTTTTCAAAAATAATATTCAAAAAAAAAATATTCTCCTCTTTTTTTTTTCGAACACCACTTTCAAGTTATTGGGCTTACTCTTTTGGGCTTTTAAATTAGTCTCATTGAATTGGGCCAAAACAAAAATTCAATTTGGGCTTACTTTTTTGGGCTTTTCAATTAATCTCTTTGAATTTAATTTGGGTTTCACAAGTAACCTCTTTTAATTTGGGTTTCAATTCTAAATTTGAGCTTTAAACTCAAATTGGACCTAGATTCATTAATATTTGAAAAAGAAAACAACTATTTGGTTTTTTCTAACACTTTGAACTTAAGATTGTTGGGGACGGCAGTTGTTGACGACGGCAAAACTCCGGCAATTCGAGCGATTCCAGATAAGTACCTGAAATTAAAAGAATATTTTGTCGAGGCCTGTGAAACACAGTTTTCTTAAGTTCGATTTCCGTGCCACCTCTAAAGCTTCGAGGCTATTGGAGCACGGTGAACTCCCAGGATACAACGACCGCGTATTTGGAAGAAGCTTTCCAAATACCAAACGAACTCAGAGAGAGATATGAGCAAATATGTGAATGCTCTTTTTTCTCTAGAATGCTTGTTTCTTTTCTGAGTGTTTTATGAGCTAACCCAAGACCCCTATTTATAGTAGATGGGAGAATCTCAAAATAAATCAATTTGAATTTCAAAATTCAAATTTGATTTTATCTTGATATTATCTCAATCTTATCTTAATTATATTTGATAGATTTTCTGCGGATTTGAATCCAATTTGAATTTGAATTTCAAATTCAAACAAGAATATTCTCTTAATATTCTGCAGATTTAAAGTTTCTAAAACTTTATATAGACCGGGCTTCTCACGGGCTAGGCCCGTTTTGATTCTATCAAATACACCCAAATCCAACACAATTTACAACCAATTACACAGTTCATAGTGACATCTAATTCGAAACAAAGTAAAACCTTACAGATAATGCCTAAACAGATTGAATAGATGAGTGGAGAATGTTAATAGATTTAGGCCCACAGTCTGTTGGTTTTAATGCTCTAGGATACTCCGTGATATGACATTTTGACTTTGTATTGGTTCAGCATTTTACGGGTCGGGCCGGCCCGGTCCGATGGACGACCGGGCTTCAATTTTTTAGGTCCAAGCTCGTAAATTTTACGGGCGGGCTCGGGGCGGGTAACGAGCCTTGGACTTTTTTGACACCCCTAGTGAAGATGAAAATCTTAAAAAAAAAGTGAAAATAAAAAATTGGGTAATATATTCATAAGGGAATATCAAAATAATAACTAAAATTTTCATTTTTTTAAAAATAAAAATTAAACTTTATTTTTTATAAAATCAAATTTTTTCAATAAAAAATAAATCTCAACTTTATAATCTTTGTCATTTTTAACTCTATTACTGACGTGGCGTTCTAACATCCTACGTGCAAAATCGATACTTTGACCGTATTTGACACATCATCATCCACGTGCCACGATATCGGAACGTCACGTCACCAATATGATTAAAAATGATAAAAATTATAAAATTTAAATTTATTTTTTATTAAAAAATAAAGCTGAAATTTTATTTGATAAAAAACAAAATTTAGTTTTTATTTTGTAAAAATTGAAAAGTTTAAATATTATTTTGAAATTTTTTCTATATTAATAATTATGCTTCTGAGAGAGGGTGAGCTGAGATGTTGGGATGGAAAAATTGCAAAAATGACTTTATATGTCATTTTTACTTCATGACATGACATCGCTTCTTTTTTTTTAAAACCAACATAATTTCATAACCTCATAATTGTATCTTTCCAAAAATACCCTTCCCTTTTAATTTAATATTTTCATTTTTTAAAAATATTTCAACCCTCTCTCTTCTCTTCCAGCTCTCTCTCTTTCTTTCCATCCGCATATATCGAACAAACTACACTATCTCTTCTTGTTCATTCTCTAATCTTCAAATTCTCTTCATTTCCAATCTATTTTTCAACTAATTTGTTGTGAAAAAACAATATTAAGTTTGGGCATTTCATCGATTACACACAAATCTTAATAATAGGTAAATATTGTTTCAAAAATTCGTTATTAAATTTGGATTTGTGATTTGTTGTTTTGTTATCTTTATATTTAATCTAGATGATACAGATGAAACAAATATGATATATGCATCAGCAATACCATGATTCACGTTATTCTAACTGGTTGAAATCGTTAAATACGTGAAATTCGTCAAAATGAGAAAATTCGGAAAACTGGTCATACATACGTGTCAGAATGGTCAAACTGGTCGTACTTCTAACTGGTCATACTTTTAAAATTGGTTAAACTGGTTATACTCGCAAAATTGGTAACGTTGGTCATAATCATCAAAGTGGTCAAACTGATCATACTCATTAAATTTATGATATGATATGATTAAAACGATGGATTATGCGATTTCGAACAGGTCTGACCGTCTGACCAATGTAATGATGTATGACCGTCTGACCATATGACCGTCTGACCACTTGAGTACGAAAAAAAAAGGTCTAAATTAAATTTAAACTATTTAAAAAGTTGTAAATGGGTTATAAAAATACTACTGCATCGTTTTTGAGTTCTAATTTCACGTAGGAAAAAAATCTCTCGACATAAGTCAATTGTATACAACGTGTTACATAAACACTACTATTACTTTAGGTCTTCTTTGGAACAAGTTATATTGACAAACAAAAAATGTACTCAATCCATATTAGTACGATCGATTTGAACTTGAAATATTTGTGATATGATGTGATTATTACAATGTTAATACTTTTAAAACGATGAATTATGCAATTTCGAACAAGTCTGACCGTCTGACCAAGGTATAACCGTCTGACCGTATGACCATTTGGGTACGAAAAAATATCTAAATTAAAACTAAACGATTCGAAAAGTTGTATAGGGATTATAAGATTACTTTTACATCGTTTTAGAGTTCTAATTTCACGTAGAAAAAAAAATCTCTCGACATAAGTCAATTGTACTCAATGTGTTACATAAACATTATTATTACTTTAGGTCTTCTTTGGAAAGAGTTACATTGACAAACAAAAAATATACTCAATCCATATTGCTACAACCGATTTGAACTTGAAATATTTGTGATATGATATGATTATTACAATGTTAACACTTTTAAAACAATGAATTATGCAATTTCGAACAAGTCTGACTGTCTGACCAAGGTATACCGTCTGACCGTATGACCATTTGGGTACGGAAAAAAATACCTAAATTAAATCTAAACGATTCAAAAAGTTGTATAGAGGTTATAAGATTACTTTTGCATCGTTTTGGAGTTCTAATTTCATGTAGAAAAAAAAACCTCTCGACATAAGTCAGTTGTACTGAATGTGTTACATAAACACTACTATTACTTTAGGTCTTGTTTGGAAAGAGTTACGTTGACAAACAAAAAAATGTACTCAATCCATATCGCTACGACCGATTTGAACTTGAAATATTTGTGATATGATGTGATTATTACAATGTTAACACTTTTAAAACTATGAATTATGCAATTTCGAACAAGTCTGACCGTTTGATCAAGGTATGACTATCTGACCGTATGACCGTATGACAATTTGGGTACGAAAAAAATACCTAAATTAAATTTAAACGATTCAAAAAGTTGTATAGGGTTTATAAGATTAATTTTGCATTGTTTTGGAGTTCTAATTTCACGTAAAAAAAAAATCTCTCGTCATAAGTCAATTGTACTCAATGTGTTACATAAACATTACTATTACTTTATGTCTGTGTGGAATGAGTTGTTGATGACATCATTGTTCTTGACACCATGAGAAAAATCAGATCGGTTTGACCGATGTGCCATTTCGATAGCCAAAATTTCTCTAAGGATTTTCATCAAACACTTTCCATGCATTCTCAAATTCTTCAACTTTAGTGTGTCGGATCT